ACTTAGAGAAGCAACCTTGGGAGTTGTCAATTTTCAGAGGAGCAGAGCAGGGAAAACAGAGGCAAACTTGTGCATGGCGTTGGATTTCGAGCAAAGCCGAGCATGCATGCATTCATTCCTCTTCCCGAGGCCTTTTACTGCTTTCCATAGCTTAGTTAATTTATTAATTAATTAAGGGCTTGTAATATTTAATCTTTAGCTTGTAGGTTAATAAAATTGTATATTCTTTTGGTCCCTCCGGGCGAGGGTGAATTTGTAAATAATTGTGGGTGCATGGTGTATGTCTTTCCAACCCCACGTCTTTCTTCCCCTTTTATTTACCTGCTTTCAATGGTTAGTATTAGGGCATATCTAAATTAGCATACTTATGCTATGCATGCGTGCATCCATACATTTGTCTTACATGCATCGGGCTCGGCACATCATGCTAACTGCACTTGTATTTCAAATCCAAGTTGAGTACTTGTTAGTTGCAGCATTTTACATGCCATCCTTTAGGATAGCCGAGCCTATTATAGTTGCATTTTGCATGTGCTGCATTAGCCATCTTCACATGAACTAGGATCATGCATATGATTACTAACTAGTTTCTGTTTTGGCTTGGAGTACTCTGTAAGTCTTTTTGCTTTAGCATCCTGCTTGTGTGAGTGTTGCCATGACAGCATGATTACCATGAGGCTAGCTGCTTATGTGATATAACTGCTTGAATGCCTGTGGATGGAGGTCGAATTGCTTAAATTGGGATACGCATTAAAACTGTGAATTTTAAGCGCCACTAGATAGTGCAAAACCATCTTTTCTAAAAAGCCCATCGAGGGTGGCACAACCTGCATTTTAGCCTACTTGCGAGTAGCAAACCATTTTCAAAACAAGCATGAGATGTTTTGTTCCATTATTCGATTTGGTCTATACTTGTTTGCTGTGCGCATAACATAGTAATTCTAGGCTAATAACCGGAATAAAACACATAACATATTTTCAAAAACGGATATCATGGTTAGTAGACGGCCGATCTTCGATCGGGCGAGAGGGGTGCTCATAGCTGACCTTCCCCATCGTACCAAGCTCGGCCGATCTATTTCGGATCACGTGGCTTGGCTCAGTCAGGGTTCCTAATAATTTCTCCCATTTTAAATATTTTGTGTGGCGGACTCTGTATCTCTATATTTGGCAAAGCAGTCCATGTTTGGCACTTCTTTCTAAAACATCTGTTTTTCAAAACGATTTGCCAGATTTGGGCTCTTTGGTTCAGATTAAGAACCGTGACACAAATCGAGTCCGAACTGTAGCGAGGCCCCCACGCGGGCGCGTCTACACCATACCATAAGACTAAGTGCTTAAGTGACATACCTGTTTGAATGCCAGTGGATGAAGGCTTTTTCGCTTAAGTTAGGATGATTCAATTAATGTACAAATGAGATCACTTTTTCAAGTGGTACATATTTAAACACTTTTCAAAAAACAAACATGAAATCAAAGCGTTCCAACTTTTGTGAATTAGTTTATACTTGTGTGCGTCACGTAGTAAAGATAGCCTAACAATCAGAACAAGAGCATATAATGTAAATTAGAATCACATCATGATTAGTAGAGGCCGATCTTTGATCGGGTGAGTGGGGTGCTCAATTCATGACCTTTCTCTCTCATACCTAAATTCCAAAGCTGAGACACTTTGGTGATGACGGATAGGTGACCTTTGGCACGAGTCTCGGGTTTCTTTAATTTTCCAAGAATATTTAGGTGGCGACTCTGAAATCTAGCAAAGCAGTCCATTTTTGACATTTTGATTCAAAATCGATTTTTCAAAAGAATTGTCGGAATTGGACTCATTTGTGTTTATCTATTTCACATTTGCACTTGCGAAATCAAATTCAGAATTACGGAAGTCCAAACTATAAGGCTATCGTATCTGAAAGGAGCACGAAAAGCAAGCTACAAAACCGAGCAAAGGTCATTTGTTTGGCGAACCAGTAACTGTTTGTAAAATATGGATCAATAAAAACATAAAACAAAATATAAAAGAAAATTAAAAAAAAAATAATTTCGCTAGAGTATATCAAGATGGTTATGAATTAAAAAACAAAAACATATCAAACAATTATTGGGGGTGTTTGGGAACTTGGTTTTTGGATTTTTTTTTATTTTTTTTTACTACAAGACATATGTTTTACAAAATCAAAAAAAGCAAATCCAAACAATATCACATCAAGTCTCATAATCATTTCATTTTTTCTCTCACAAACATCACATCTAACCATAAAAAAATCTAACTATCTTCCCAAACACAAAAAAAAAATTTCTCCAATAATATCCTACAACTAAAAAAACCTACAAAAAAATCCATTTCCCAAACACCCACATTTTAGAAGATGGTGTTGTTGCTTGTGTTGTCACTAGAGCGTATCGTAGATAGGGTGATGGTTAGACGGTGTCGTTGGTGGGGAAAAGTTAGGGATGGTGGTCGGAGATGAGAGCAATGACAGTTTAAAATAGTGAAAAGAATAAGAAAAATGATGGAGAAGAGAAAAATAAGAAGATGAGTATAACGAGAGGAAAGTAATGTTAGGGATAAAGATATAGTTGATTGGTATATTGAGAAGTGTAAATAGACAAATTAAAATTTTGAATTTTTTAAATGGGTGTAATGGGAAAATTAGTGTAACGCACATAGAATTATTTGGGATTAAAATTTCAAATTTGTAAGAAGGGTGTAAAAAAAAGGGTATAAGGAGTTAATTTTATGGTACAAGTAAAAGAAAAATTATACATACAAGAAATTCACAAGAATGATGTGACAATGTTATTATTGTAAATAAATATATTTTCAATGATATTTTGTTTTAAAATAAAAAGTCTACAATGAGCGACATTATTATGTATAAATTTTTTATTCATATATTATTACTCTAGAACTACCCACATCATTTATATTAATTTTGCTAGTTTATTCATAACTTTTTTGGTAAATTACACACATACATACACCAAAAAAAAAAAAAAAAAAAACTCGGCATTTTGCCCTTGTAAGAGCTTTCACACCAGCCTCTTCAAGTTTTTAGTTAAATTAGAGCTGAAAAACCTATTTTGCTATTTTAGCTAGTTATCCACAGTATCAAACTCTCTATTCTAACTCAATCATATTAAAATATTATTTTATTATTGTATTTTTTATTCTTTCTTATTTTATTAATTTGATGAGCAGCTGCCAAATAATTCTTAAAAAAAAAAATTGTTGTTGACCGGTGGACTGGTTAGTCTAATTTTTGGCATTTTTCTTCTTCTGCTACAGGCACTCACGGGACATCCGGTGGGACATTCAAGACGACATCTGGTTTAAAAATTTTGGCCCAGTCTTGCTCCAGAAAATATAATAAAAAAACATATAGCGAATGAACAGAGTGCCTCAACAAAGTTGTTGAGATACTATAGCAAATTTAACAAGAAGTTGATTTATAAAAAATTTGTTGAGACTGATGGAGAGAGAATTTGATGATTTATTAGTTATATTTTAGCTTTTTGTTATTTTGATGATCCTGATACGAATGCTCTAACAAAATAAGCCTTGAAGTTATAATGTTATCAATTTAAATCATAACCTTTTAATTTATTTTCAATTTAAACTATATGCATATTTTCATTAACTAAAACTAACTAGAAAATTGTATTTTATTCATACTCAACGGAAAAAATATATTTTATGTACACTTACATTGAATTTAATGGCTAATTTTTTTTTTCTTTTATTTTATTTAATAAAAATAAGAAAATGATTTAGATTAAAAATAAATTTAAAAATTAGAATTTAAATTGAAAAAATTAAAAAATTAAAATGCAGGATTACGTTCTTACTCCAAATTTTATTTTTTATTAAATTTTTAAAATTTTTTTTGTTCAATGTATTATTATTTTTAAAGTTTTCATCAAATTCAAATTTGATAAATTCTTAATTTGATAATAATAAAAAAAAATGACTCCCATTGATTTAATTAGAAATGATTTTTTAAAAAATATTTTAATCAAATTTAAATTTGATAAAAAAAGAGTGTTACTATTAGCACCCATCAATTATTTTGGACCCCTCAAATTTTTGCTTTTTTAATTATACTAATAACCTCAAATAAAATTACTAAAAAGGACATCATTAATTTTGAAACACTTCATCTCATAATTAAACCCACACATGCACTACATCATGAATTAGGGTTTATAAGAGTATCCATCTCTATCACCATTCATCCATCTTCTCAAATCCTACCTTCAAAACTTATCCACCCTCAAAATCTTGAAAACCTTTTGGCGGCAATATTCTAGCGGTAATAGTAATAACCATTTGATTACCTGCACTTACCTGCACTTCTCTGGCAATGATAATTAGTGAAAGTTTTTTCGGCAACCACAACTCTATGAGACGAGAGGAGTACAACAATAAAAGTTTAGAGGAAGTTCATAATTTTGATAGTAGCTTAGAGGAAATTGGCCTTATAAGAGTAGGTTCCTTAAAAAAATAACAAATATAATAAAATTTGTTCATCATTTTTTTGGGACTGAACTCTGGAACATATGATCGAAATTTGAGAATATAGGCCGAACATTATTTATTTGTTCAGGAACTGGTAACCGAACACTTATTATTTGTTTAGAAATAGGTTACCGAACATTAATCATCGAAGAAAGGGATGAGGCGAGAGAGAGAGGGAGCATATCAACTGTGACAATGGTTAAATCGAAAAAAAGAATGAGACGGCAGAGACAGTGATCACACTTGGCTCTTATTTGTTAAAGGTTTTGGAAGAGAGGTTTTTTTAGGATGTGAGGGTATCCGTTCAATTGAATGGACGAAATGTTTTTAAAAGGATAATTTTAGTATTATTTATGGAGAGAATTTTTTTTTTTAAATTTTAAAATTTATAAATAAAAATGAGGAATTCAAAATAATAGATAGAGTGCTAATTATATATATATATATATATATACGTTGGAGAAGCTCTAACATATATTTTATTAAAATAAAATTTGTTAAAATTGTAAAAACCATCTCAATTGACAATTTTGTTAGATTTGAAGAGTAACGACGACAACAAGAAGGCATTCAATCTCCGGCGATCGCTCAAAGAGAGAATGGGATTGGGCTTCGTCGTCGGCGTCCTCGGAGTCTTGATCCTTTCTCACTCAGCCTACTCTACCATCCAGTGTAACCCCTCTCTCTCTCTCTCTCAAATTCAAAACTAGGGTTTCAATGTCGCCTCAATTAGCTCGTTTGATTTAATTACAGATAGGTCTCTGCTGAAGATCACCGAGGACGAGTTCTCTGGACCACCTATGAACGTAATTCTCTCTCTGTATTCCATATCTAGTATTGATTTACTTTCATGGGTTTGTGATGGTTATAAATCTAGGGTTTTGGTAATACAGGTGGTTGGTGAGCTGATTTTAGGGTTGGTTGTGTGTATGTGGGCTGCGTTGATCGTTCCAGGGAAATTTCTCTCGATACTTCTCGATTCTGAGGAGAACAGGTAATGTAATGTCTGTTGGTTATTGAATTTGGTTTTCAAATAAATAAGTTGTTTTTTTGTTGCAATTAGCAATTAGAACAATAAATAAGGTGGGTTTGTGCGTTTTATTGAGATCCATGAAGGCTCACAGTAATTTAGGTATAGTACAATGCCATCTCCAGACCTTCTAACTCAAAATTTTACTCAAATTTGAGTAAAAGCTGTATTTGATATGCAGAGCAGAGTGGTAGATTTGAGAATCACGAAAATACCTTGAAAGCCATTTGGTATAAACTATCACATCACTCTCTCTATTTCTCTGCACATATTTTCGTAAAAAGCCAACTAAAATAGTCAGTTTCCAAACAGGGTAATATTTGACTCTCTCTTGGTTTGGGAAAAAATTTGAGTAAAACTCCATTTGGCATAAGTTTGGGGTAAGAAGTGGGGTTTGTTTTGAGTATTTTTATCCAAATAATTTGATATAAGTTTGAGTCAAGATTGGAGATGCCCTAATCTCTTTCATTTACCACCTCTCCACAGGCTGTCCCACTTAGAACTTCACTCTAAAATCAGTTACATACTTTTTAAAATTTCATATTAGGTGGATATTTGATTTCAAATTGTTTGAAGTAGTATAAAATTCATAACAATGCCCTCAAGGGATAGGAAAATACCAAATAATCTTGTATAGAAGTATTGGCTTTTTAGGAAAGAAAAATATTTACATGGCCTTAAAAAACTCGGAGGTGTTCTCTCTTTATATAGATGTTGTTTGGCATGTGCTAAAATAACACATCTTATTTGGATCACATCACTTCTTATTTGGGTCACATTACCTCTTTGCCACATTACTTTAATTTCAACTCACATTTCATATTTTTTTGTAAAAAGTAAAAAATATATTAATTTAACACGTCCCAAACAACCCCATAATATAATGATGTACTAAGAAGTACGGATACAGGCACGTGGGGAATGTTGGGGTGAACAAAAAAAGTATTTTTTTAGATTTCATTCAAATTTTTTGAGATTTACAGAGTGAACCCAGTGAAATCAAAAAAACATAAAAACAAATTTACGGGTTTCGCAAATTGACCCCAATGGAATAAAAGAAAACACATGAAATCAAACTTTTTGTGTCTTATAAATTGACTTGGGGAAACAAAATATCTCACGCCTAGAAACATATTCAATTTAACCTATTGTTGGTATTTATAAATGTATGTGTAGCCAACTTTTCATATATTGATATATGAAGAATCATTTGCATTTTGTTTTGAGCTTTTGGAGTTTTTTAGTGTTGAATTGTTTTATTTTTTATTTTTTTGGTTACATATATCATAAAAGAAATGTTTGATAACTTAAATAATGAAGTTATCATTTAGTGATTTTCAAAAATGAAAATTGTCGAGGACAAGTGTAAATTTTACTTAAAAAAAAAGAAAAGAAAAAGAGTATTGATGTCCTAATTTTTGTTTTTAAATGTAATTTGACAAGTTTAGTTACTTTTGTCGATGTGATTAGAACTATATAAAATTTGAATGTATTCTGTTGAAGTTTATTTTGAAGGTTGCAATTTATCAAAAAAAAAAAAAAAAAAAGAAGAAAAAAGTTGATTTTGATGGTTGTATAACTAAAAATTTTACATGATGATTGTATAACTAAAGTTGATTCTGTGCTTCCCCCTATCCTTATATTGTGTTCATTATGTTCATCTGTCATAGGCTATAGGATGGGTAGTTTGTTTCTTAAATTCCTCAAATCATGAAGAATCAATTGTTTTCTCCACAAAGGTTGAGCTTCTACTTCTTGAAATAGTTGAGATAGCACGTTTGTATTCTTCACAAGCAAATCTATATGCATCTTATCATTGTTAGAATATTTTTATCTTCACATTTGAGGCATTGTTGTCGATGTCAGGACACAATCATATGAGTTTTACTTTGTGAATTGAGCAAAGGCAAATGAACTGACATTTTCATCTATTTACTAACATTATTTTTACCTAAGTTTTAATTAATTTTACTCTTTTATTAGTAAAATTAGGAAGAATTAATTAATGAGAGAGTGTCTTTTGAAATTCCCTGTATGAATAGCCAATAGAGCTCTATATCACTGTACATGTGTTTTGACAAAATTCTCTAGTTTGTAAATAAGTTTTTATTCACGAGAAACTTTTCTTGCGACATAGGTGACCCTGGCCTTTTATGTACAGTCTATCCTGTTAATATTGTAATACATATTCCAACATTGTTTTTGAAATTCAGATAACTTATAACCTGTGCTTGCTTGGAGACGAAGTTGGAGGAGACTATATATAGAGGGGTCAGAGTCAGGGCTAGCTCATCACTATATGAAAGAAAAATCCTGCTTTTGCTTTTTGTTCGACATGTCCCGAGATAGATCTTTTCATGAATATAGTTAGAGATACTGTAAAAACTATGGAGGTGATGGAAGTCCAGTAGCTCTTTCAATCTTTAGCATATATTGATAGCTCATTTTTATTTTATTGTTGTGGGGAGGGGGGGATTGCTTCTTAACTAGTCTCCTTAAATACCCGCTAAAAATGAAAAAGAACAAAAAAAAAGTCACAAACATCTTTAGGGTGCACTGTACAAACTCCGAAAGGAGTGAACTGCTGAATTGCATCACAAGATGGTCAGGTCATTTTGCATGATGGATAACAATTTTAGGCTAACCGGCTAACTCTAATGAAATATGAATGATGATATTTTATAGGTTATGCCAAACAACTGTTTAAGCAAAAAGGGCCACCTGTGAAGGACCATAGACTGTTCTATGTGGAAATTGTTGATAATACACAACATAGCTAGCTTGACGGAACCAATTGATTTGTGTATTAGATTACAAATTGAGAGGAATCGAGGATAAGTTTCCTTAAAATGCAAATGACTCGGTTTTTCTTTATTTTCTTCCAATTTTGTTCTTCCTCTGTATCTTTTTAGAATATGAGAAAAATAAATCTACTGTATTTGAAGCCAAAAGTTAAACCAAGCCTAGCTGCATGTGTGAAAGCTAATATACAATCTTCAAACCAGTAGAACCTGTTAAGTATATGGTCTATAATAGTGAGTTGCACTACTAATTCTCAGCCTTTATGTTTATTTTTTGTCTGATGATTTAACTTTAGAAATGATTATATTTGCTTTGCTATTGATCTGGAAATGAATGGATAATGACTTCAAATTCCTGTTTTCTTGAGTGCAGGGTAGTATCTTTACCTGCGAATATGGATTTCATGATCTTCAACCATCGTGGAAAAGCATTTCCTTTACACCTTGATATGAAGTTGAAGTGAAACAAAAAAATGACACTTGTCTAGTAGTTTTGGAAGTTAGAGGCGTTTTAACAGATAAATCTGATTGATATTTTCCGTTAGTGAAGTTGCATCACCCACAAGGAGCTAAATACTGTACTTGTGGATTCAAATGGATATTAGACACAATACGGAGAACGGGACCTTCGTGGTTGTTATTTTGACTGAAACTATCAGAATTTTTTATGAATTTCAATTTTTTTTTGTGAAGGTCACAACCGGTCTGTCTATGTTCGAAGCAAAAACAGAAGCACGGGAAGCTTGTATTTGATGTTTGGGATATTTGTTATTTTCTACCCTTCTTTAAACTTTAATGCTGTGTTTGGTTGAGGGATTTGAGGAGGGATTTGAAAAGGAAAATAGAAAAGATAGGTGAAATGTGAAAAAAAATATACTTACATTTCACATAGTTTTACACACTTTTTTCCTTTCCCTTTTCAAATTCCTCCCTAAATTCCTAACCAAACACAACGTAAAGATATTAGCTGTAATGATGAATTTGTTCGTCCTTCTATTTGGGTTTTTTAAACAAACCTAACTAGTTGAGCTTGACTTGTATTCGGCTTATTAAAAATTTGTTTGAGATTAACATGTTATATAAACAAGTTAAATTTTAATATATTTTAAAGTTCGTTATTAAATTTTTAAACCAAGCTTGAACAACCATTACTCGGCTCGATAAGTTTATATACACTATAAAAGATCATATTACTCCAGCTTGATTTATATTTGACTCATTAAAAATTGTTTGAGATTGACCCGTTATATAAATAAATTAAATTTAAATATATTGTGAAGCCCTTTAAGTTTTTAGGTTAAGCTTTAATAATATTATATCCGGTTCGTTTATTGTCCTATTTCCATTAGATTCATTAATTGACACCCCGTTTCAGACCTTAGAATTGACCTTGATATGCTTTCATGACAAGCTTTGTATTTGAAGGTTTGGGCAGTGATTTTTTTGACTAAAATATGAAGCGAAAAAAATTGAATTATTTGATTTTTTTTGTGTTTTATGAAAGAACTTTCAGAAAGTAGGATAACGTGGCAATATGGCTGAATGAAATCGGATTGGCTCATGTCTATCATTTAAGTTTTCCCTGTTTGGCAGGAGGGAGAAAAGAGGTTGAAGTTCTGCTCTTGAAAAATCAAGAGAAATGTTCTTTTTTTTGTCTGTTTCTTCAACATTTTGTAGAATAACGAGTTAAGCATGCATGGTTCTCACTTAGATCTCTTCCTGCTGTGCTAGGAAGCAGAGAACACAATTGATTTTTGGAAGCAGAGAACGCACCTGATTTTTTTTTTATTTATTTATTTTTTTTTGGGGGGGGGAAAGGTTCAGTCAGTCTCGTTTGATAACAAGTTGTTTTAATAATTTTTTAACTTTTTGATTAAAAAAGTGAAAAAAATTAGTATATTTGAAATGATTTTTTAATTTTTTACAAAAAAATATATAAAAAGTAAAAAGAAGAGAATTTTTAATATAAGTGATTGACTATTTAATTTTTTTTAGGGACTTTTTAACTTGTTAGGGTAGCTCCGAACAAGTTAAAAGTTGATATAAAAATTTGAATCTAAAAACACCTTCCACGTTACCTAATAATAAAAAATAATAAAAAAAATTATAGGAATTACTTTTGCCACAGAAGAAGAAGGTCCATTTAAACAATCTAGCACAGATTTTCAAAATGAAAAAAAGTTGCAAGTAGCTTCATAAAAAAAAATATAAATGGAAGGACGAACAAATTCATCATTACAGCTAACATCTTTAGTGCACACTAATCCTTATCAAATGAACATCGTCGGCAAAAATAACAATAATAATAATAATAATAATTAGATTTCCTTGCTTGGGATGATGATGCTCCATCAGAAATGACATTGCTTCACTGGTCAATCTAAAGCACAGGAACATCTTTGAAACAATATTATCATTTCAAAAATCCTAACAAGAACTTGATTCCAGCTCAGTAGACAGCTCCATTCATCAGGGAGGATCCCTGAAGCAACCATCAGTTACTGCAAATTATCTCCCTTATTTTTCCTTCCATATGTGCAGGATGGATGAAAAGTAAATCTCTAAGACTATGTTTGAATAGCAGTAATATTGAAGATAGATGTAAACACCTAGTATTTTTGAATTATCCTAACACTTCAATGAGATTACCCAACTATCAGGTATGGATTCTTGGTCTTTAAATCAAATGCTGCCTTGCTTGCTCTCTGCAACGTGAGAGTGAGAGTCAGGAAGGTAAATCAAATAACCAAACCAAAAAGCTCTCTACATTGGAATTGAATAGGAAATCCTTACCATTGCATCCGTCAGCTGCCATCTGAAGGCAGACAGTTCTGCCAAGCATGAATGCCAAGATCCAACTAGCTTGGAGAAGGCTGTGATGGTATCACAATGATCCGCTCCTCTAATCAAAATATTACTAAAAAAAACTTGGTTGATTATCACATAAAATAGCAGCTGAAAAGCCCTTTCAATTACTGTCTGGTTTGGAAAAAGCCGAGGAGTTTTTCTTTGAAGCAATATCTGTGCTCCATAAATCTAGAAGGTGAATTTATAAACCCCACATTTCTCGCAACTGCTTCCAAGTTTTAAATGGGCTGGGTTTCTGAGACAAACAACCACCAGTAGACTTTAAGAAAGCTTCAAAAAGGGGATTCCAGTCCACTCATGAAATGAATGCATGCAGATGAAAAGGGGGTAACTTTAACCCAACAATATTCAATTTGAAGTATAAACCCCCAAAAGCACCAAAATGTCCAGCATTGAATGAATCTAGGAAAGGAATTCTCATACTGTCATTCCTTACCTCCCAAATTGGAAAATCTACAATGTAAATGTCAAGACAGGGAACACTTTAAACATAAGCATGCAACAGAGAGAATCAAGGAGAAAAACCCCATAGATAAGCTAGCCAATATGTTAGGATGAAGTGACGAAGATAACTAGAATTGAAGAAACTGGTGGTCAGGTTAATGGTAGGGATTTGATGGAGACTGGAGAATTTTAGCACAGTAGACACAGATAATTGCCTAATCATCAACGCATGATTGTCAATTATGGATATCAAACCTTATCAAGGACGATGAGAATAAAAAAAAAATCAACATTGAAAGTCAAAAAAGGCAATAACAAAGAAACCCAACAATGAAAAGAGGAAAAGAACTTCCTGGACAGGCAATAGTCACAACAAATTTAAATCAATGCCAAGTAGAAGCCCTTGTCTTGACTAAAGAAAGTCCTAGAACAGGCATCAACAAAGAAGAAACAACTGAAGAAAAAATAGAATCATAAATCGATTATATCAAAGGTGACTGAATTCCCAATTTCCCAGGAAAGGTCTTATCTGTACACCATCAATGACATTGGCATAAATACCACCGAAAACATTGTGCAAAAGCAGCACATCCTTGACATTGGCACAAATACCACCAAAACATTATGCAAAAGCAGCACATCCTTAACAGAGTCCTAAAGTAGCACATTCAATATTTATTTGAAACAAAAAACAAAAAACTCACCCGGTCCCAACCAGTCCAGACTTTAGAGAAGAAAAAACAAGGTGCCATTGAGAGTTTGGAATTCCCATATATACCAAAAAATTCCCACTTAGTAGATTGTGGATCTATAATGCAATGCACAGATTGAATCAGAAGCAGAAGTTATGACCAATCAAAAAGGGGTTTAAAATCAAGTGAAATGTGTCCATAAGAAGGCCAACCTATAAAAGGTTTAGGCAGTCTGGCCATTCAAAATAGGCCAAACAAGACCTAAAAGGAAATATCCCATGGAAGTCTTCCTTTGCATCTACCCATTACTTGAAAGATAAATACCAAGAGGATAATACTAGGAAGAACCTAAAACCTCTATACCATTCGAGACTTTCCTTACAAACATCATTAATCATTAAGAGAAAGTCAAACTTCATACATTTCAAATTTGATATAATAGCACAAAATTGGAATTTATGTTACACGGATTCTTCAAAATAAATCAAATACATGTGTTAGACAGTCGATCTTAGGACAAGGGATATGTGTCTGATACATTCCACTAGACACTTCTTATATATTTGTATTTAACACTATCGTTATAATTATTTATTGTTGAGTAATTGCTATAAAAAAATGAGTAAAATGTCTTTTTGACGTTACAAGTGACATATAACACCATTTTATCTCACACAATAGACTTAAAATATAAAAATATGACCATTTTTTGCCAAGTCTGCATATCCTTGAAATTGAGATTTGATGCGTCCGACCTATAGATGTGCACCTGCATCCGATACTCGCACCCAAGTCCATGAAACATAGGTTGGAATATAGTTCACCAATGGCTGCAAGCGGAGATGCGCAACAGTTGCAACAATAATTGAGCATAAAAGAATTGGACAATGATACTAGTTGCAATAAGAAATTAAGATCAAAACAAATTGAAACAAGCTATGAAACAAAATTTATGAGGTGATAAAAAAAAACCACCAAAGGAATATATATATTGTTTTGAACAGCAATAACACCACCAAAGGATTACCACTACTTCAGAATGACACAAAAATTAACTGTAGATCACCTGTTCACTTCGACAGTAACACGTGAAAAAATCATATTAGAAGCTCCCATCTAGGTGCTTCCCATCTCCAACTAGATAATTATGTGTGAAAAGGCTATCAAAATCTTTGGAATATCTTATTAACTATGAAGCATGGGTACTTTGAAAAATTTTCCGTACCCATACCGAGTACTCACCGGCATACCGTACCTCGTATGGTACTTCTGCATATGTACCGGGTACACAAAATACGTACCCAATTCTTCTTAATTTTTGACGTACTTAGTATATATTCAAGCCGTACTATACTTCAGTTGAAACAATATTTTCCTTCTACTATAGAGATAAAACTCATTTCACTAGATTTTTTTTTATTTTTTATTTTATGCTTAGTATGATTTTAAAATTAAACTATCGTTTGTAAGTTATTTAATATATTGACATTTAATTTTGATTTATACTTTTACTTTTGATATTAAATGTTAATTATAGGTTGGACCTTAACAAATTAAACCATTTAATTAATTTTTGCATTACCCTAAATTAAAAATAAATATTTTTTTACAAGCATACCGAGCCGTACCCGTACCCGTACCCTATTTTTTTTTTTTAATTTTACCGTATCGACGTACCCGTATCGTACCAATACCAGTACTCGTATCCGTACCCGTGCTTTATAGCTTATTAACCATTTTGTGACAGGAGTCTAAAGATTCCAATAAATGACTTTGAAAACGACTAAACTACTGCTGCTTAGTCAAAACAAAGAGTCCAATTTAACTATTCTGTCAACATATCTTTTACAGACATAAATGTCATTTTTAACATTCACTCAGAGGTGACCACCTAGGCTGCTTCCAGTGCAATTAAAAGGGTCCCATCAATATTTGTCCCAATTGCTCCCAATGTTTCTCACCCATACCATACCCTCATCAGCTAACATACCATGCAGCCGCTTAGTGCACAAAAATAATTAATACAATGACAGCACAAAAAAAATACTTGAATGACTTGTACTATCAAACAAACCAAAAAAGAAATAAGATGAAAATTATATTTTTGCCGTCACAAAATTGATTTTTTACTTTATGAAAAAAGTTAGGTAAAAAATGTTTGGTCCGTTTGTTGCTACACCCCTTGAATTATGTTGACTGAGGTCAACTGAGTCTGAATTCATTGCTCATCATTAGGTGCTCAGCCTTTTAATGTAGATTTATTGCTGTAAGTTGGAATTTCTTTTAGGACTTGTGGAAAAGTTAAATGATTTAAGTAATTCAATTTACTTATATACATTCATGCCAAAATTATTCAGAGTTGTGCTCCTTCTTGTTCTCATACACATACTAGTTGAATGATTAAAATTTTGCCAGAACACAGTAGTTACCTCATCACTGGTGTACTTGACTATACTCTTAAAAAAAATAGTAATAATTATTTTATGTGCATAGTATTAGTTATATATTCTACCAAGTCAATTGGCTTTGAGCTAATCAAATAAAAGCATGACAAAAAGTAAAATCAATTGGCTATATATGATATCCGAGAATAAAGTTCATAAGCATCCGTTCAACATTTGTGAGTGAGATAAAAAGAAGAAACTACATTTATCAAAGAATTGTCTGCAGAATAAAGCCATAGCCAGGTTGAAACATGCATTAGCATACCTTAAAAAATTGTATTCATCTGGGACTACAAGGGTCTTCCAACTGTATTCTTATAACTACTACTGCATGACAATATGGACTTAAACTTTTGAGTTCCCTAATGTAGTGAAGAATGCAATGACTTCCATCAAGCAAGGGATCCAGTGAATCAAGTTACAATTGAGTGAGTTCCTGTGGGTTCTCCATAGACTGTCTAAGAATTAACTCAGCTCTCCGTTTCTTGTCATCCTTCTCATCATCCCGACCAATCCAAGGTGCCGTTTTCCCAGAACCTTTATTCCAAAGTCTCAAATCCACAGATTCACCTAATAGTTTCTTGCCAGATTTGAAATTCAAATGAACAGCAGGTCTCTTGTCTGGAAGAACATTTTTATCAATGTCTCCGGAATCACAAAAGCCACCCTTCATTGCTTCAATAGCAGGAGCGAATGTTTCTAACACAGAAACATGGTTTTCAACAACAGTTTCATCAGAAAGCTTAACTGGCAGGGGAACTGAAGAAACATCTTTCTCTCCTGCTTGTAAAGGTGTAGCAAGAAATGGGTTTTTAGTTTCGGAAACTTGTAAAACCTTATCATCATTACACAAATCTGCTGAAATGGAAGACGATGCAGAACCATTGCACAACAACCGCTGCTGCAAACTCAACAAAGACCTCTCGGCCTTCCTCCTTTGCCTAGCTAGCTCAATTTTGTCCGAACGAGGATCTGTTTCCCTCTCATTCCATGTGGGTGTGTGTATGTATGTGTGAGGATCGGGAAAGGCCGGCAACCAAGATGGAATGTGCTTGAATGTTGGAATTTCACCCATTTGCATAAAACTCGGGGTCATACTCCGATTTCTCATGATCGGAAAGTGTGGAATTGGTTGAGCAAATGGAATTTCCTCAGCACTCTCCCCATACTCAACAATTTCCCTCACTGTACCCGAAACAGTTAGGCAATGACTGACCTCTGAAGCACCCGAAAACCCATTAACCGAACCCAAATCCCCCAATCCTTGTATAACATCAAACACATTACACTCAGTCCTACCAGCTAAATTAGCGTAAAAACTAGCAGTTTTTCCTAAGTCACAGAGGTATCGGACCGCAATATCAGTGAGAACCTCCAAAGCAGACTCATTGAAGCTCTGAAACCCAACACTCTCGCATATCTGAGCCACGGCAATCCTCGAAACAGCTCGGCCAAACTCATCGGCATTGGCTCGTTTCAGTGCGTGGCTTCCATTTTCCTTCTCTCTCTTGCTCTCCACTTTACCTCCATCGCTCATATTCAAACCCGCGTATCATTTAGGGCTTTGAGCAAAAAAAACCCCAATTTTGACCTCACAAACCGTCTCTCGCATAACAAAAATTCACAAATATACAAGCCCTAGAACTGAATTGCATATAAACGACACGTAGAACACTATGTTAATGCAAGAACATGAAGACTTACCAGTGATTTTTGAAGGACTATGAAGTGAATCTCACAACCGTTGATTGGGCATGAAACGAGTGAAATGAGAGCATCGTAAGGAGCTGAAAAACCCTAGAGAGAGAGAGAGAGAGAGAGAGAGAGAGACAGGGAGAAGGAGAGATCTAGATTTCAATGGTTGGAGTGAAGATTTATAGAGGGGTATTGGTGAAAATGTTAGGGTTTATGAATTGCTGGTAAACCCTAGTGAGAACAAAGATGCAACCGAGCAGCAAGAGAGCTTGGAGAGAGAAGGAAGAAGAGAGAAGGCAGACGATGAGAGAGAGAGGGTTTATTATTATAGAACTGGTTGCGAAAGAGGAAACCAAAACACCCGTAAATTAAAAAAGAGTGATGCCATTAAGGGCCCTGAATTTTTTTTGCACCTCTTTTTTTTGGATTTTATTTATAAATTAAAATTTCTTTCCTATGTGAACATGTTTTTTTAGTAATTATTTAAATTTTTAGTTAAAATATAATGTAAAAAAAAATAATATGTTTAGGATGATTTTTTAATTTTTTATGAAAAAATGTGCAAAAAATAGAGAAAAAAGAGAATTTTTGACTTTTTGATATAAGTTGTTGATTTTTTGATTTTTTTAGTGACTTTTTAACTAAAAAAATCGCTTGCCAAATGAGGCCTAACATTATTTAAAAGCATTCTAACTATTAAATGCACATTTTCACACCCCAAAAAAAATCTTCCTTCTAAAAAATCATAACAAAATCCATTAAGAAAAGAAGAGTCTCATCATTTTCAAAACCCACGAAAAATAATAATAATAATAATATTGTCTGTGTTGGTTTAATTATTGTCACAATTAGTATGCTCTCTCTCTTCCTCATTCCTTCTTCAAAACTGAAACTACTGTAAACAAAGATTGCCAAAGACATTATTAACTCTATTTTTCATCTATATATGTGTAAAATTCTTGATTTTCAATGTTTTTCACTGCCACACATATTTCCGAGTATATATATATATATGTGTGTTATCATTCTACCAATTTCATTAAATTAGTTGCTATGATTTCTTGGGCACCTTTTGTGTTACTGAATTCAATCATTGAATAATTTTCGTAAATATATATACACAGAATTTTTTGATTTTTTTTTCCCAAATGCTCTCAATTTTCCATTCTTAAATTCTCTTTAGCTGGTAAAGAATCATTGATTGAGTGAAGTTGGCATCTTGAACATATTCAATTAAGCTAAAATTAAAATGTTGTCATATGTTGACATGGAAAAGTCAAGGCAATACTATTTTAAGGTGTTTCAAGAAAAGGACCGCAAAATTAATTTATGATTTAATTAGGTTCATGGAAATTGTGATTGTATATATGGAAGGAAAAACAAACAGGAATGAAAATAAGTTCACTGCTGAAAGGATGAAACTAATGAATGGCAATCAAATAACTCAAAGTTATACATACAAAAATAGAATGTTAAGTACACTACGCGTCCAGGAAATGCTTGGCATAATGCCTTGACAGTAGAATTCTGTACCCATGTGCCATTAGTTGATGAAATTTGAGGGGAAATTTTATTGGATGCTCCATCATTAGCAGCATCACAATTCACCATAAGACAACCATTTGGCATCAACTTGTCATACAAGTCCAACCAAGTTGTAACCTATCCAAGAGAGTAAGAACAGATATATTGCATCTAAATTGGATGACAAAATTACGGTATACCATACAATAGCTGAGAATAACAAGAGATGTTAAAGAGTGTGTTTGGAAGAATGAAATCAACACCATGGCATGAGAACTGGAGGGTGTTAGTAGTTCATTTAATTTGTCTTGAGATGGCCTTTTTTTTTTCTTTTCTTTTTTTTTAAGTTTCTTGATGGATGAATATGCTATATACATTTTTAATATGAGATTATCACTCAATGACTTCTTTTTCTCATCTTTTTACACATAATTTTTGGGTCCTATACAGTTGATTCCTTGATTTGTAAATAATTTATTTGAATTGCAGAGACCAAAAGGAATTATAATTTTTAAGGACTATTTTTTACAAATAATGAGGTCTTTTGAGGAATCTATTGATGAGAGTGTATACATGCATTGTTACAAGGGGAAAAACACATGCACTCATACATAAAGAGAGAGAGAGATATATAGATAGATAGAGATTAGAGGGATTTATAATATATATAGATAGAGATTAGAGGAGTATAACTTATATATATATATATATATATATATAAGAGCACTAAATTATGGACAAAGTTATCTAATATTTCTATGAACTCTAGAACATCTTCCAAGTTGTCTCTTATAATATGATTTTTATTTACATTCTAGAATCTCAGTTCTTTGACATGTGCTTATGTAAAGCTACTCAAGAATGATATAGTTTAGGTGATAATTAATATTTTTATTTGTCTTCTTTCAAGCTTGAGTTAAATTTTTGCTTTTGTTTTATTTTATTTAATTTATGAACCTGAATATTATGTCATTTGAAGGATGAAAATTGCCATAAAAAGCTACCAGCTAATGTCTCTTCTCTACTCATGCATCCCAACCCTCCCTAAAATAAAAAATAAATAAATAACAAAAAAAAAGAAGAAAAAGAATCCTTTGAGCTAACTTGTTTTTGAGCTTTTTTCAGCTACATAGCACTGCATGAGCACAAATAAGCTAACTTTCTTTTCATATAACATGTCTACTCTTGTATATAATCATATTATTTCCTTTTATTTTTTCCTTCCCTAATAAGTATGTTTTCATTTTTTTGTCATTACTATACTTGTCTTACCTTGTAAAATATTGTGTCTTCCAAATGACGCAGCTAACTTATGGACGTTAACAATACAACTCGAAAGCACAAACGGTATCTTTGAGGCGTAACAACACCCAAGTACCTCAAAATGTCGGTCGAAAATGTCGTGCTCGTAATGTTCAGGCTGACGAATGTGATGGTGATAGACCCGTTGTCAATGATATTGATAGGAATGAAGGGCAAACGAACATTCCTACCATTGACCACCACACAAACATTTCGGATGCTGACTATCGCACGGACGTGCCTAGTTCAAGTGAAGCGCTTGCTACATCTTTTCCCGGGGGCCCAATTGATCCTTTAATTTTGACAAATTTTAGTTGTCATGTAGTAGCCAAAATTTGGAATAATGAGGTATAACTTACAAACTATTGTCTTGTTTTAATCATTTAAAACAAAAAAAATTGAGATACATTATTAAACATTCAGGACTGTATTCTTTATCCAGTTGCTCATACAAATTTGTTAACAAGGTAGTTGTATCTGCCTTTGTTGAAAGATGGCAACCTGAGACTAACAGTTTCCACATGCCATTTGGTGAGATGTCCGTGTCATTAGATGATGTAAGTACCATATTAGGAATTCCTGTGACTAGTACATCTGTTTTAACTAATAAGTTATCACGGGATGAAGCTGCAAAGGTGTTGGTTAAGTCATTGGGAGTGTCAGAAGATGGTACAGTTGTTGAGTTGAAGGGAGCCGGGGGCCAATCAGTGCAATTGGAATGGTTGCATGAAAATTTTCATTTAGTTTCAGATGTAGATTCGAATGATTTCATTCATTACGTAGCGAGGGCATATTTATTATTCTTGTTAGGTTATACCTTGTTCATTGACAAGACTACAAATCGTGTTCCTGTTATGTATCTCCAGTTGCTTGAGGATTTGAATTTAGTTCATTCGTATGCTTGGGGTGCAACTTCATTAGGTTTTTTGTATCGGCAATTGGGTATGGCAACAAAGTTTACTGTCAGACAAATAGTGGGATACATGACACTGTTGGAGGCTTAGATCTATGAACATTTTATATGTGCTAGAACCCATCCAAATTTAAGTTATACAGAAAACCAGCCTCAGGCTTATCGTTGTATTCCTCGCACTCAATCTAGTTCATCGGTTGTTGTTGTAAAGTCATTGCGAGAGGAGCTTGATAGATTGGAGGCTCATGAGGTAAAAAAAAAAAAGTGTAATTCCTTCGTGTCATTGATCTTTTATAGAGAACTTATGATTTTGTGTATTCTTTGTAGGTTATTTGGGGTCCATATACTGGTAAACGTGAGAACCATCCATTTGCTGAAATTGCTTACTATACACTGGATTACTGAAATGCATGGATATTGTTGAACCCTATCATCCAGATAGGTTTTTGAGACAGTTTGGAAGGATACAAAATATTTCCCCACCTCCACTTTCTCCAATTTCACAAGGACCTTCCGCTGGCAAGTATTGCGTTTCGTACAAATATGTGGATCGGATTACAAAGAGGTGGAAAAATCATGTGTTGTCTGAAGTGGAGTGAAGTGAGCCAGTTTTACATCCATGGGATTGCATGCCCAATTACATGGATTGGTATTGTCGTATTTCCCATGTCACTATTCAAAATTTGGCACATCGATCTACATATGACCCTCGTTCTGAGGCATCAATAGCTCATACTGACTCACAATGCATTGCAAAAGCCTTGACTATAGCACGTCCAATAATGCAGTTGGATTACATTGAAGTCATTAGTGCTCCAGAGTCTCTGTACAATGTATTCAAACTAGTGATGCAATTATTGGAGGCTAGCACATAGATGAAGAACTACACTCCTCACCAGAATATCACTCTTCACCATAACAACACTCCCCGTCGGAACAACAACAATCCGTAAAAGAAAGTTTGGTTTATTGCCATCACCCTCGTTCTTATCCTCACCAAACTGACACTGGACACAACTAAAAATTCATGATCATTTGTGGGATACTGTGGATGTTTTGTAATTAGAATGGATGTTTATGCGTATTTTCGTATTAGTATGGATGATTATGGACCATCCTTTTGACTTAGTAATATTATGGATGATTTTGTCATGGTTGCTTTGATGTACAACAGTTATGTTCGCACCATGGTTTTCAGTTAATAATTTCATTAATGCTTTTGAGTTATATATGTCATGTTTAATTGTTATGGTTGCTTTAACTATTGTTGTTGTGTTTTTATAGTGTTATATATATATGTATATATATTATTGAGTTTAAGAAATTTCCATGTTTGGACCTGCATTCCCGAATATTACTTATTTGTTCGAGAATGCATTCCCGAATAAATAAGTAATGTTTGGACCTGTACTTCCGAACTTGATAAAATGAAAAATTTTGAGTGTTGAGAATTTTAATCGTTGAAAGTGTTAATTCTCGAACAAATAAGCTATGTTCAAGAATGTGTTCCCGAACAAATAAGTGGTGTTCCCGCCTGCATTCCCGAACTTGCAAAAATGAAAACTTCTACAAGCGTTAATAATTTTAACCATCC